TTTCCGTTGCATAACTAGGTCGTTCACTAACATTAACATATATGACCAACACAAATCAAGTGGTTAAACAGTCAAACATACACCCATCTAAGTCAAGAAATTTTGTTATGAATGTGCTTTCTAGTTCCTATAACATTGTAATCTTTGTTATGACCCTTATTGCTTGCAAAATTTGGAAACAATGGTACCCATCAAAACTAAATTCTAAAAATAGTTACAAGAATCAGGTAACTAATAGTAAAACAATATAATCTACAATAAGCATTTCAAATGTTTTCTTTTAAAATACAACTCATTCTATACATAAAATTGCATGACGGTAATAAGTCACAAGAACCAATCAATTATGGAAACATCTTCTTGCAAGTGTAATACAAGAGTGACCATAAAAGACCTTTAAGCGTTTTCTCATCCGATACCTTTAGAAGATGAGCAACTTTGCAGAATCCTGCATGATATATATATAGAATTCTTCATTTATTGTTGGTTTCATCCCATTGTTACAAGGTTTTGGCCTTGTAAGAGCCCGTCGCCCACCCATTCTTACAAGGTTTTGGTCTTATAAGAGCCCATTGTCCATATGGCCAAAGAATGCATGTAACTTAGCACTATAAACAATCAATAGTGGTCCAAACTTCAAGAGTTTAGAAAGAATAACTATGCAGAAAACAACAATGAGTCGGTGAATTATCAAGAACAAATAGTTCTAAAGCAGATAATTTTCAATGTAAATTATGCAGAATATAAAGTTTCCAATTGTAATGGGCAGGAAATTGTCCTAAAGGCAGTAACCTGATGATGCAAGACATAAAGAAAGGGTACAAACGGGTATTTAGTCCTTATCTTCTACATTTTAGGATCGAGTATTTCAGTCCTTGTCTTCTAATTTTTTGTTGTGCTTCATATTCTGAGTCTGAGTCCGAGTCCGAGTCCAAGTCACTTGAGTCTCTCGAGTCTGGAGACTTGGGCTCCATTACTTATGGGTTTTCGTTAGTATCTGCCATAGCCGTGTCTGTGTCTTCTTCATCTCGAGTTTTTGGCGCTAGGCTTTGATCTTCTGGTTCCATTCTTCTGCTTCGTTTGCTCTGTGTTGCTCTCAAGTGTACTGAAGGGTTGGGTTTATTGCAATGATACCTAGAGATTTGGCGTGAAATTTCCCTAATTTTTTAAAATCACACTTCACCCCCATATATATATTTTCTAATTCTGATGGGGAAGATTTCCTACTAGTAAGTATATTCCTTTGATATAAGGAAAAAAATAGAGAAAAGAAATAAAATAAAATAAGAAAATAAACTAAACTAAAATAAAATCTTAAATTTATCAAGAAATTTATCTTACATAGTATCCATTTTGAAAAGAAGACAAATTATTTTTGTATTATTGTATTTCTCGGATGTAAAAAACGCTAACCGTCTATTAAAAATGTCTTTCTAATCCTTTGCACCATCATTAAATGGAACAAAACTCCATTAGGGGTAGAATTGTTAGTTTCCAGACCTTAGAGGTGACAGGGTAATAAACCGCAATTTGTCTAATTATTTAAAAAGAATTAAATATATATTTATTAATTAGGACTTATTTTTCTTGACAAATATATAATAACAAAAATAGAAACAAGACAAAAGGTAAATGGATTTTTCTTTTATGTTATAATTATTCATTTTATTATACTATTTCATATTTTTATTTGAAAGAAACTCTTTATTACCAAATCTTTTTTCTGAAAACAAAATAGTGCATATCATAAATTCAGATGGAAATATGCATATAATAAGTCTATGGGTGATAACCCTCATGCAGTATACATCATTACATGTGGCATGACATGCAAAATGAAGCTAGCGCGTGGACCCAACCTTGAGCGAAAATCACTACTCAGCACGATTCCTGTGTTGACCTAAAAATACTCAATGAATAGATGATTTTGTAAAACATTTTTTCTTTACTTTTATGAAAATATTGTCTATGTAATTATGGTACAATTATCTGACTTATTTCTTATAAACTGATATTAATAAACTAGAGATATATTATATATTTCCTTTGATTCTGTATTTTTAATGTCTAGTATCTAGTACTGAAACTACTATTATTAACTGTTTACTTTATTAGTTCATTTCTGATGCATTACAACTAATAACTGATAAATGAATTGATACCATGAACAAATAATTGTTCTAATATTGTATAACGGAAAATTGATCTGATATTATAAAACTAATAACTGATACTGAACTGATCATAAATGTTAACTGATACATTAACAGATATGATCAACACATATCAAGTGATTAAACAGTCAAACACACACCCATCTTAATAAAGAAATTTTGGTATGAATGTGCTTCCTAGTACATATAACGTTGTAATCTCTGTTATAACCTTTATTTCTTGCAAAATTTGGAAACAATGGTACCCATCGAAACTAAATTCTGAAAATAGTTACAAGAATCGGATGACTAATAGTTGAACAATATAATTTACATAAGCATTTCAAATGTTTTCTTTTAAAATACAACTCATTAACTGTACATAGAATTGCATGACAGTAATAAGTCACAAGAACCAATCAATTATGGAAACATCTTCTTGCAAGTGTAATACAAGAGTGACTATGAAAAACCTTTAAGTGTTTTCTCATCCGATACCTTTAGAAGGTGAGCACCTTCGCAGAATCCTGCATGATATCTATACAGACATTCTTCATTTATTGTTGGTTTCATCCCATTCCTACAAGGTTTTGGCCTTGTAAGAGTCCATTGCCCATATGGCCAACGAATGCATGTAATTTAGCGCTCTAAAACAATCAATGGTGGTCCAAGCTTCAGGAGTTTAGAAAGAATAACTACACAGAAAACAGCAATGACTCAGTCAATTATCAGGAATAAATAGTTCTAGAGCAGATATTTTTTAGTGTAAATTATGCAAAATGTAAACTTTCTAATTGTAGTCGACAGAAATTTAGCCTAAAGGCAGTAACCTGACGATGCAAGACGTAAAGGAAGGATGCAAATGGGTATTTAGTCCTTATCTTCTACATTTTAGGATCGAGTATTTGAGTCCTTGGTATCTTTTCTTGATTCCTCTTCTTAACCCATTAATTTCTCTCTATCACCTTATATAGAATCCTATATTATCTATCTATGATATTCTTCTCCCCCTCCATCACCTAAGGAGCAAAAATATTATCTACTGGACATTATAACTACTCGAGTTTTGTCCAATATTTCACAACATCAAGAATCTACTAGAAAATGGTTAAACGGTACAACCACCAAAACAAAATAAACGAATTGACAAAACAGATGATGAAATAAAATATATACAGATTTGAGATAGATTTAGATCTAAAAAACACAAACTCATACCTTAGTTAACAGCCTATTAACTAAGCTATAAGATAACAACTTTAAACAAACTTAGGGGTTCTTACACGAGTGTATTTTCAGACCATGCTGCTTCATAGATTTCAATGGCAATTTGAAATCCCATATCGACCAAATCTCCACGATCATCGTTACAGCAACTGCACATGTAACACCAAACCATATTTTTCTTGATTGCAATGTTGTCATTTTAACTGTTCCAACAAGTAGATCCCATTGACCGGCCCCTGTTGTGCATCCATATTCTTTAAGATATTCTAGGGAAAAACCTTCTCTAATGCTCCTTTTTCTTTGTCTTCATCAACTATCGCTAAAAGAGCACATGCTCGTGCATAACTACATTAGAGACACACCAGGTAAGTTCTAGTCTTATCAGATCTGAACTAAAAAGGAATATATATTGAGAAATAGAAACATGTGAAATACTATAAATATATCAGGATTTATCAGGCCTAGATAATTGAGAATATCAATGAATGAAGTTAATTAGTTACAACATAACATTGTCCAATAAACCGATTAGCTTGAATAGATGAACTTGAGCGGCCACCATTATTGTCGTAGTTGAAGTAAGAATCATTCCACAATTCCTTATATACAACTTTTGCTTACTGAAATTTGCACCAAAAATAATCCTCAAACCCTTAAGACCTACTTCATGTGCAAATCCTGACACAGCCTGCAATGCTACCACCTCTACCATATGCACTTACAACAGAGACAGATCACACATGGTATGTCTGATTAGGGAAGCCATCATTCTCAATCTTCCCCATCACCATCCCTATCAAATTCAAATAGATGAAAGTGTTTGCTAAACCTTCTTCTTACCATAACCAAAATAAAGCATTTGGGTAGTCGGATGAACTTTTGTAGGACTCTGCTCTGTAAAAAGTCAAATACTCACTAAAGTTTTATCACATAAACTCTAATTTTTCTTTTGGACCGGAAATTGAGAAAGCTCGTTCAAATAGTCACGATAATTTTTGACCTTTATTAGTGTCACAGTCCAATCTGCACCGTGGGAACGGCTGATCAACCCCTCTACCCAAGCCCACTTTGCGTGACTCACTAGGAATATCTCCCCCTCCCCCTCCCCCCCTAAGGGATTTCTTTCACCTCCCCCACCACTAGCCTGATGGTACTCACCATGCTTCCCAATTGACTATAGCCCTTTGGTCTTGGGTTCGAGTGGTGGGGGAGGCGAAAGAAATCCCTTAAAGGGGGGGGGGGGGGGGGGATATTCCTAGTGAGTTACGCAGAGTGGGCCTGAGTATAGGGGCTGATCAGTCGTGCCCACTGTGCAAATTGGGCCGTGACAATTAGTAACTGCATGACTAAGGACATTATACATTCAATCGGCTTCACATTTTTCTCCGCCATCTTATGAAGGAGTTCAACAACTTCTGGTATGTCATTATTCTTGAGGAAACAAAACATAAGCGTAATAAATGTAATTACATTTGGAGCACAACCGTTTTCCTCCATATATGACAACAACTTATTTGCCATTTCTAGTTGTCCATTTTTACACAACCCATTGATCAAAATGCTATATGTTACAACGTCTGGCACCATGTTTCCATGAAGAGAAAAATTTTGAAATAGGTCCTAAGCAGTTTCGAATCTCTCTATTTTACATAATCCATCAATGAGGGAATTCAAACCTTCAATGTTAACAGCAACCTTATTATTTACTAGAGCATTAAACATTTCCACGGCTTCCAAAACATATCCATTCTTGCAAAGTCCATTAACAAAAATGTTATATGTCCAAGAATCAGGAAAAGTATCGTTAAGTCGCATCTCACCAACTAAATTCCGTGCATCTTTCACCTTTTCTATAAGAAAAAAGCCAGTTAACAAGGTGTTATATGTAATCACATCAGGCCTAATTCCTTCTGAAATCATCTCTCGATAAAGACTAAGAGCTTCATTGACTTCTTTATTCTTGCAATACCAATTAATCAAAGTATTGTAGCAAACAACATCAGGTCTACACCCCTTTCTAGTTATAGAATCAAACAACTCCCTTGCATCACCAATTCTATCTACCAAGCAATAACCGTTTATAAAAATGTTGTAGGTATAAATGTTAGGAACCATACCTCTCTGAATCATATGTTTCAACAATAGTTGTCTGGCCTTCTCAACCAATCTAGCCTTACAAAGACCATCATAATACTATAAGTAACAACATTTGGCCTACAAATAACACCAGATTCTTTATTCCCATTGACCACCTCTTCAAGCAACTTAATGGCAACACTTACTTTCTTTGTTTTACACAATCCACCAATCAAAGTGTTGCAAGTGATTACATTAGGCCTACAACCAATAGTAATCATTTTCTTAAACAATTCCATTGATTCCATAATCTTTCACTCTACAACAGACCTTTAATCAAACAAGTAAATGTCACGGTATTTGGGCTAAAACCCAACGTCAAAATCACTCCAAAAACCGCATAACCAATAGAAACCCTTTCAATATTACATAACCAATTCATCAAAATATTCAAAGATATAAAATCTGGAGACAACCTAGTTGAATTCAACAGCTTATAAAGCGAAATCACTTCATAATAATGCTTCTTCTTAGCTAGTGCACTAAACAAAGTAGTGAATGATGAAATTGCAGAAATGGGTTTCATATTAATCATGTAATAAAAAAAGTACAATGCTTCATTCAGAGTAAAGCTACCTGATCAACAATTTTCTTCGAGGAATTTAGCAAGTGAGGATCGTTCAAGGGGTTTTTTGAAAGAATACGAAACTTCATTTTTGGAGCTTGAAGATGTGAGGTTGTGTAAGTGAGCTAACAAAAATAAAAAATTAACTTTCGAAGATGGGTTTTGAGAGATTGAAGACGAACGAAATAGGGATTTGAATCTCAAAGCCATGTATGAAGAGTGTTTTTGTGGGTCGTTTTTTCCAAAGTAAGGTCATTGCAAAAGGCAAATGCATTAAAGAGAAATGTTTTGACAAATTTCACAAACAACCTTTAAGGTTTTCAAAATTGCAAACTTATCTCAAGTATCGATCTTTCCTATTCAAACCACCTTTATGATTTCAAAGATTATTCACTTGAATGTTAAAAATGTATATCCACCTTTAGGTGTTTTTCGGTTTGCGGTGGTTTTCTACTAAATCAAAAATTATCCAGTTGATCAAACAAACCAATTTATATAAATATTCAAATTTACCTTCTTTTTTTTTAATAAAATTATAAGATTTAAATAAATCATGCTATTGAACTTTGTATTTAATTTACAATGATATATAAATTTATTTCTTCTTCAAACTTTTAAATATACCAAAATCAATATTATTTACTAAAGCATGAAACATTTCCACTTCTTCCGAAACACATCCATTCTTGCAAAGTTCATCAATGGAAATGCTATGTGTCCAAGAATAAGGTAAAACCATTAAGTTGCATCTCACCAACTAATTTCTGTGCATCTTTTACATTAGCTTTAAGAAAAAGGCAAATTAACAAATTGTTATTTATAATCACATTAGGCCTAATTCCTTATAAAGTCTTCTCTTGATAAAGACAAAGAACTTCGTTGACTTCTTTATTCTTGCAATACCATCTGATTAAAGTATTGTAGCAAAAAACATTAGGTCCATATTCCTTTCTAGTTAAAACTTCTTCATTTATAAGATCAGTTTTTATATTGTTTATTAGAGACTATTATTAGAGGTGTGCCACGAGGCAGTGAAGTCGAATTTGAAGTTCATTAGAGACTATACTTCCAATAATAGATGGAATCAATTAGAAGAGAAAAACATTTTATAGCTATAAGACGTTTCTATTCTAATTTTTCAACGCATCATATTTTGCAAGAGAATTAATGAAATATGGATAGAATCTTGAAATTTTCTCTCAATGTTTTGACATGCTAATTCTTTCAATTAATTTCTCTTATTCAATGGTAGAGGAAGTTTGAGTAGATGCTCTAGAGCCAATCAATTATTGTAGAATTGACTCTTTGAAATAATGTTCATTAATTAATAATAAAAGGCATTTTATTCTATATCGTATAAATCATTATTATTGCAATATGTATTGATATATGTCCTCAGAATGGTAGAACCGTGACGAGGGTATCAAGTGTTTCAAATATTGATAGTGAGAACCCTATGAGTACATATGGTGCCCATTCTAGAAACGTCCGTAGCCCTAGTATTATTCTGGAGTAAGGGCATAAATAATACGGTAAGGCTATCATAGTGTTGAACAACCCTGTCGAAAGGCAGTGACTGATCTCACTTATCAAGGTTGTTTGGTGACAACCTGGTGCAACACATGGGTGCTTGTTGTAGGCAGATATACCGCAGCAAGTTCACTGGACTAACCCACCAGAGGATTCCATGGGATGGTAACCCCAGTGTCTATGGAACAAATCCTCTAACGAATGGTAGTGCACGTGATCCTTAGACTTGAGATCACCGGAGCGCCTTGTGCACCGATTGGTGTAGTTTGACACTAGCCTAATGCAGTTCTTTTCAGAGCTGTCAATACGGTAGTGATTGGCTGCATCAAGGAGTGTATCAAGACTATGGTGGATAGACAGAGGATTCATCACTCCCGGGTATGGGAGAAGTTATCTCACAACACAATTCAATATATGGCAATGACACTAAAACTGTGGCCACAGTGGGATTGAGTTGTTGCTCTATCCAGATTATAATACAGGTCATTGGTCTAGAAACTGAATACATAATATCGAGAGTAACTGAAGGTTGACACTATTTATATGCCTTCGTCTCGTCAAGATAACGTATGATGAAAGGATTGAATTGTACGATAACCATATCGTTGATAGTTAGCTACTTTGTTGAATCCGAATCTATCGAGTGGCCATGATGCCTTGCTAGGGGCCAATATTGGTCTGTGTATTAGTGAGACGATTAATTGGTGTTAATCATGATACTATACACTACTGGTATGATGAGCAACCTATGGGTCACACACATAGAAGATAATTTAAGACTCAGTAATTAATAATGGCGTTTTCATCTTTTTTGGTTAAAGGGTATTTTTGTAATTTCATAATGCAATTAAATTTGCTGAGGTCGTAGCCTTTTATTTAATTTGTTAGGAAAAATTAAATAAGTGAAATTACATTTAAATATGTGTTAGCATATATTTAAATAAATTATCATTATTGTTAAATATTAATATATATATATATATTAATTCATTTTAATTGAAGATAATGATGAATTAAAATAAATATCTAATTGGGAGTGTTTGGTAACATGGGGTGTTAGGGTTTGAGCCCAAGCCTATTCCATATGGGAATAGGGGAATTAAAATATTACTATAAAAAAAACTTTAGTTGAAAAAGGTAAAGTTATTCATTCATCACTATTTCATTGAAAAGAAAGAAAAACACAGCCCCCAAATCTCTCTCCCATGACAGTTTTGGTTTTGCCTAAAATCAAATACATTTCATTTTTCTTTTTGTTTCTGAAGGCTAAGGAGGATCTAGCAAATCCCTCCTTAGTTCTCTGCGATTGTCTTCGTGTGGACTACGTGGGTTCGATCCTACACATGGGTCGGTAGCAAAAACGTTCATTGACAAATTTGGAGGAGCCTCTAAACGTGTGTATGTTTCTTAAACCTTGAACTGATTTTTTTCTGCAAATTTGATTATTTTGTATAAACTGTGATTTTTGTACTCGGATCTTGGTTCTAAGGAACGATCCATGTAGTTTATGTTTCTTGTTTTCCGCTGCGTAACTGGGTTGTTCACTAACAGAGGATGTATCAATATGTATTTATTTAACATTCGTTTGTTTTTTATTGATTAAATTTTCCATCTTCTCCTCTTTGTTTTTATGAACCACAAATTTTATGAGATAATTTTAATCATGTTTAATCATGATGCTCATACAAGCCAAGTTAATTTCAAGGGAATTCATAAATTTTAATGTTAAGTATTTAAAATGAGTGTTTGCTTATTGATTAAAATTTTCTTATGTCAATCGAGAACACAACTACTATTGTAAATTCAATAATGCTTAATCAAAATTATTACTATTAATTTAATCTCCTTTATAAAAATATTATTTAAGTGCAAAACATTTAACTTTAAGTATGCATAAACTGATTACTTATATTAAAAGCAAGAAAGACCACAAGAAATTGAAATTATAACTAAATTTCAACAACAATTTTGTTGATAAACAACTTGACCTAAAAGCTTAAGCTGAAAAAGGTATTAACGCTGTAAAGGCATCTTCATGTGTTACATATCCAAGCCAAATTCAGACGAGAGACCAACCCAAATTAGCAGGATTTAATACATGAGAGATTCAAATCATGACCTCCACTTTAATATCTGTTGTGTGTGATTTTGTCGTAACTCGAAAGAAGTTGACTTGTGTCCTTAACACTTTATGATACTATGTAATGTTCTACATTAGCTTATCCGCAACGTGCACTAACCATGGAACAACGTTAAATCCTATTCATGGGGATTATGTAAATATTCCATTCCGAAAATAGAAAGTGAAACATTAGATCTTTTTTGAAGATTGGTACTAATTCATGATCTAACATGTAACAAGCGAAAACCTCATTCTCGATTCTACGAGAAATTTTATGAAGCATCCAATAGAATCATGAAGAGTCTAAGTGAAACAAACATAATCATATGAGATATGGATATTCATTCAAAACAGACAATAAAATGAATATATGTGGCGGAAATTTAATCGGGCGAGCATACAATGATATTTTCATATTCTCCTCAGACATTTTCCAAACCAAAGACATTTTTTTCATTTTCAACAAGTATGAGATCAAGGCCATTGTTGTTTCAATACACAAACCCATAGTGCTCTAGTGTTCCATCTTTCTAATTAGGATTCTCATCTATGACAAATAGAAAAGGGGCATAAACTTGACATATATAGAATAAAATTTACAAGAAGTTACTGATATATATTTCGTCCCAAACAGGTATCGTTTGTCATAATTGTGTTTACAGAAACATATTAAGGCAAAACCTTATGTCTTTTATAAGAAAAAAAAAAAAAAACTAAAGCAGGTGAGCGCATACTTTGTCTAATACATATCCTACCATGGGGCAAACCTCTCTGCAACTTAGAAAATAGTAAAATTTTGGTTTGTGGTTTTTGGCTTCCTGCGAAACCCTGCAAATGCCAGAAGTTTTTGCATATTTATAGATAAGTGTTTTCCCCACTATTAGTCACATGAGTAGAGAATCATATTTATATAAGTGGTCGTTGGTCATAATTAGGTTTATAGAAACTATTAAGGCAAAACCTTATGTTTTTTATAAGAAAAGAAGTTTGTCAATTACTGTGCTATTCTAGTTAACATGTAACATGTACCTAAGGAACAAACCTCACTTCTTAAGGATCATTTCTCTGAACTCATTATTTCACTTCGGCTTCTCATCTTCCACTCCCTGCTTTTGAATTTGTCGAGGGACACCAAGTGTCTGACATTCCTTGGCATTGCAAATGTGTTCCTCCCCTTCGCTGAATGTTATCACTACTTTATTAGCAGCAAGTGTGGTGCTTTAGACTCCCTGAAAGTCTGATTACTACTTGCGCTGCCATTTAACCCAAAGGAAGAAAATGAAAGTAGAAGTAAAACAACATCTATAACTGTATTGAACACAAACAAACATCACAAGTAATAAACAAGATAAACACAATTCACTACCTACCATGTTCTCCAAAGGCCCCATGACTGGCAGAATCCTTTCTCTTTTGCTGCGGATTTTATCTTACAATGCTCCTTCTTCCAAGAAACTTTGTTTGTTCTTTCTTACAACTGCAGCAAGGTGTGCATCATCGGCAAAATCCACATATGCCAGGCCCTTCAAAATCGATCAGAGTATATTATAAATTAGTATGCAACAGTCCAACATATGCCCTACAGTTAAAGGCAAGCTGGAATTGGGTAAATCGTATGGGACTATGGTTAGTCTCCTAAGCATATCCCTTGCTATCAAAATAAAAAAAAAATATTCTCTTAGACAAGTTAGACTCTTTATACTTAAAAAATTAAGCAAGTTTACCATAATTATGGAATTCAATCTTTCTTCAAGTTATTTGAGACTACATAATCGTCTCTGAAAGGACATTCATGTTAAAACCAAAGCGTAAGAACTAAATTATTTATTTACTGATGGAAGGAAGAAATCAAATTGAAGTTTCAATGAGCACCCTTGAGAAATTTGATCAAAGACAATGGACTGCATTAGTAGTTTGTATTCCCTTGAAGCATCAGCCATGCTGATTTCCCTGAAGCATTAAAACTAGTTTTCTTAGGGCTATTCCGTGGTACAGTCCACATTATGCATACATATGTTGAATTTAAAGGTCAGGCATGTTAATAAGGATTTGACTATAAGATCGATGTGCACGGGAAGGTCCAGTGGATAGCTCCCTTTTTCATTTGAAGCATAAAGCACAAGAACATTGACAAATAATGATGAGAGAAACAGAGTCATACCTTGAATTTTAGTGAACTTATCCTGTAGAATTCAACAGATTCAACCCCAACAACATCGCTAAAGAATTTTTTCAATCTTCAGAAGTTGCTTGAAAAAAATTTAAAACCATCGAATTATCTCCCTGTATTCGCCTATCCAACGTTAAAAAAGAATAAAAGGCATCTCTCTCGAAGTGCGAGAGAATCTCTACTTGCCCTAAAGTTAAGGTTTGATAAAAATGCAGTACACTTGTCAATGTATCCTTTGGCTCTTCCAGTAGTGGGGTCTTTGATGTGCTGGTCATTTGGATCTCTTCAAATTTGGTTTTTGCTTCTTCTACTTCGTTTCCTTTAGCTAAGTTCTGTGCTCGTCTCTTTTCTTTCCCATGCACTTTGTTTTGGTTTTGGGCAGTATTTTTCTGCCGCTTAGCTGGAGACTGTTCATCAGTCATGTTCGAATCTGTTTTTCTCTTTCCATTAACACTTTTCTTATGTGACTTCTCTTTCTGATCTATTAGTTCAAGAATAGATTTGGCTTCCTGTTGTAACCTAAATAATTGTAGCTCTTCCAAGCGGGGTGTAACATGAGAAAGGGAACAAAGACAAGCATCTTTACGCATTGAGTTAAAATAGCAAGGATTGCATACATTCAATAAATACTAAGCAGATGTATCATAATTCAGTGACATCTTTAACAATGTTACGTAACAACTTGACTTAAAAGCTTAAATTGATAGTTAAGCATCCAACAACCATGCTTAAAATTTAACACAATCTCATGTGATGAACACCCACAATCACAACCATAAGTATAACATAAATAAAAATACAAATTTGTAATCTAAATATGAGCCTATTAGATATAAATTTTAAATAGCGTTTTATTTTCGAAAATAAGGGATATAAGGAATTTTATGAAAATATGTTTTTATTAAAATAAGTTGAAATGTTTTCAAGACAATGTTATTGCATAGAATCCTAAAAATTAGTGTAAAATTAGAAAACAAGAAAAATATCATTTCTCAGTCTTTATATAGTTTTTTTTTAAAAAAAATTTTGAATACCAAATATATTTTCAAATATTTAAAATATTGAGATAAAACTTTTAAAAATTTTAATTGTAACTTAGTTTTTCAAGTTATCACTTAAACTAAAAATTTAAACAAATAGGCAATGATCCACCAGTAGTATTTAAGCTCTCACAAGAGAGAAGCAAAGAGTTCATAATATGTACAAAGGCACATAAAAACTACTAACGTGGCACATTTTAGTCAAACACATATGGTTACCAATAAGGCAGACATCGCAACCAGCTAAAATATTATTAGTTAAACACTTAAATTGTTTTTTTAATAAATCTATACGTACTAATTCTCAATAGCAATGCAAATGAATCATACACATTAGACTGAACAAAGAAATGCGTGATTAATTGGCACTTCAAACAAATAAATTAAAACTGCAGTAGGAATGTGAACCTTCTGTGCAGCGTGGTCAAAATCTTCAAGTGTCTCGTATTCCCTCTCAAAATGCAACCAGTTTTGGCATATGTCCTGAATAACTCTGTTTTTTAGGAAAAGAATTTATCAACAAATCCAAAAGGTAGTACATAACAATTGAAGAAAGTCACCTTGGAGTTGTGGACCCTAAACAATATTTTCAATATCATTAAATCAAGAAGCAAGAATTGTCAGTAACGTTAGATGATATAGTGAGATCATCAATGAGATCATATAATATGAATGGGAGTGGGAGTGGGAGCAGAAGCAGAGAGTTGGGAAACAATCCGATTAAATATAGTAAGGCCAATCAAGATAAGATGAAAATAACAAGGTTAACTTTATCAAACTAAACCCTAAACTAATCATAATAAAGAGAGAACTTAGATAACTTTATGATAAGTCATATAAATTATTTACATCAACAAGTTTTATTTAACCTATAGCATATTTTGACATGAAACTCGGAAAGTAAAGCTGGAACTAAGAAACTTTTCTTCAAACATATTGGAAAAAATAAGCCAAGTGGAAAAAGATATCAGCCTATTGTGTTTCAAAAACTACTCTGCTAACTATGGTTTAAATGTGATTGCTTCATATATGCCACAATTTCATCAGAGTATCAGTTACTCTAAAGTTTGAAGTTAAAAAAATAAACGTCATGGATTTTCAACTAGCATGATCCTCAGAGATACCATCATATATCGTTTTCGTATGATTTGGAAAAATTATTCAAAATGACATATTAAACCATTGTGATTCTGGTGCCCGAGTAACAGGTCGACCTATTGCAAGGCTACTCTCTAAAAATATTATCAGCTACAGAGCATGATTTTATGTTAAGAGTTCAAAATATCTCCATAAATTGCCCTCCTTGATAAACAACATTTTAACAACCTGACTTAAGCCATTTGTCTGTTTCAACTTCCATCAGCAACAAAAAGAGAATAAAGAAGAAATGTTTGCATTGCAGATGACAAATATCAATTGATTAAATAAGCGCACGTATCTACTAAAGCGACAATTTTCCCAAAAAAAAAAAAAAAATGAAAGGAAGAGAAAAAACCAGTTTAAAAACTTTCAAATTCAAATCTTGTCCATAAATCAATCTAGAATAATTGAAAGCACAGTATGTAAATGTATAAGAACCTGTCCCACTAAATATTTTACTGTAGCATCTCCTGTAGATAGCACCTAGCTTCATTTAGATGTCCCAATTCAATTTCCATAGAATATAACCTTGACTAGACTTCCAACATTGGCCCGCTGCCAGACACAAAAGCAAGTTACGGAAAAAAATACAAAGATGATCATAAATCAATCATATTGAACTATACAGGATAAGAAAGAGAAAAAGTGAATGGCCAAACCAGGCTCTCCCAAAACCCCCAGTTGCAACTTGATCTTTTCCCAAATTTAGTTCCAATGAGCCCATAAGCATACAAATGCACAAACCATTTGTATTCTTCTCTGTTGAGATAAGTAATCAGACGCCCGCTGAAGGAAGAAACTTCACTGTTAAGTATTCAAGTATTATATACATCCAATCATACAAGGCCTACAATTTCGATGGTACACTAAAGAGACATCAGGCTAATTGTTTATAAACACAAATATTGAAAACAGCCATTATACAACAACATATACTAGTTGAATATGACATGCCAATTTTATAAATCACAGCATAAAGATATCTTCCGTGCATGCAACTCAATGTTGAATGAGAAATGTTTTAGCAAGGACACTATTCCATGACAAAACTAACAAAGTTAACAATCTAGCAATTAGCAAAAGCCTCTTGGAATCGAGAGTCATCACTGTAACTTCTACATAAATGGTCATAATGGTACTATAACCACTAAATGAAGTAAATTAAAAGACTTTTCTTTAGAGTCTAAGGGTAGAACACTTGGTACACATTCGTAAGAGATCTATGCTTGGACCTTGAAATAGTAGACTAGCTACAAGGTCACATTTCTTCATCTAAAATTCACCATGAATAGAGCATCTACAAATGTCTTTGAGAAGCTTCAAGTTCTTGACATCGGTGAAAAGCATTTTTAACAGGAAAAATGAACAGTATACATATGCGAACCTGAAATGTTTCCTTATCATGAAAAATTCATGCATCCTCTTCTGCTCCAAGCAAAAGGATTCTTCGTCTCAAACCATCCCTCAAGTGAGAATAAGTTAGGTGCTGAAACATAGAGGATCCAATTACAAAGATCTTTAATGCATAAACGTAGATGAAAATATAACAAGTTACAAAGAGTAGTAAGTCAAGCGTGCAAATTAGAGAAAAGATATCTTTCCTCCTTAATGGTCGAAAAAGTGCATAGAAGGGACTTCTCAAAGACTTGAATATGTATAAAAAATCTTTTTAAACAAGAGTAAACCTCTATATTTGTAAAAGGAGCATAATGAAATTCCACAATAAAGTTTGTGAAACTTCATTGCTTTTAAGCTGCTTATAACAATCTCTCATAGTTCTCACAGAAGAAGGGTAACAACTTAAGCTTACAGTAGATATCTCTTTCTCAGGTGCTCGGCTGTAACAACTGTTTAACTAGTACAATGCATGCATAATAATGATAGAAAATGGGCCAAAAATTTTCTTTTATTATAGTAATAAGTCTTTTATACACAAAGCGCATCATTTACAAAAAGCCATTTCAAAGACAAAAACAGGGAAACAGTGTAGCTATTGCTCCTCGCTTTGCCGACGCCCCTCGACGCATCATCACCTAGATCCTACATCCACAAAGGAAATAACGGGTGAGCACAAAAATGCTCAGTATAAACCCTCTATCTGTTTATCCCCGTATGTATTTCTCTAATTTTTCCTCACACTTTTCTGTGTTTTACTAAACGTCATGGCTCATCTTACCGGAGGTACGGCCGATGGCGTTCACACACCACCATCTCACTCTTCATGACTGTCAGGTGGAGTTCACACAGTACCAACCCGTTCTTAGTGACTACCGAGTGGGGATCACGAAGCACCTACGGTTTCATAACTATCGGGTGGAGACCACACAAACACCTACCTGTTCCTCATGACTTTTGGGTGACGATCACAAAGCATCAACCTGTTTCTAATAACTAACGGGTGACGATCACAAAGCATCAACCCGTTTAATAACTATCGGGTGGCGATCACAAGCATCAACCCGTTTCTAATACCTGTCGGTGGTGTCACAAAGCATCAACCGTTTCTAATACTCTTCTTATTCACTCTACTCTAGCACTTCTCATTTTTCTCTACCCTTAGAGTAGTTGCATCCACAAAGTTCTCTCTCATAGAGCAAGTGCATACAACAAGTTTCCTACTCTTTCTTAAGTCACTTCTCAATGCACAATTAATCCTATGGATGGTTCATCTCCACTAATGCACTTATGAAATGCCAACATGCAATGTCAAGAATTAAGGTTCACTAACTCATACTCAACCTCTATTAGGCATTTCATCAAACAACTCAAGTGCATAACAAAACTCTACTATAACAATAATCTATGTCTTTCTCTAACCTCCAAAATGGGAAAAAACCTCCTCACATAGCCATAATTCCTGCCATAGAATAGCACTTCCAAAAAGGATTTCTCAGTATCCTTCATCCATCCAAACTACATTTCAACCCATATCTCACTTCTCACAATTGAAGTGTATGAACAACCACAAGCAATAACAATCTCCATTTAAAACTCAATAACATAGCATGTAACATGTATATAACATACATCAATAATTGCTATTAAAACCCTAATCAAGAAAATTGTCAAATCTCAACTTGGGTTGGATTACTTACTTTTTTATGGAGAATCTCACTAGCTCTTCATTTCTCTTGGTTTGCTTGACTTTTTCTCTACTCTTTAACAAATGAACAAAAACCCTCAATATTCAATATACTCAAAATCTCACAAAACTTCACATCCAAAGCAAGAATCCTTACCTT